GTTTATTGTTTATTATCTATTTTTTTTTATGAAAAAAAAAACAAATTAAACGTTTTTTTTATTCTTTGTGTTGAGGGTCCGGGGGGGGGGGGGGGGGGGGGTAAGGGGGGACTTTTTAGGAAACAGGTGGCAAACCAAATATTTAATAAACTAATACTTTGTCGCATCCGCATGTCAAGTTTCCCGGGTAGAGTGTCCCCCCCTGACAGTGGGCTCCCCCTGCACCAAACCCGAACAGAAGGTATCCTAGGGAACCCCGCCCGATCCAAAAGGTTCCTAGCAGGGCCCGCCCATCAAAGGGATCCTAGCAGCCAGCCCGATCAGAAGGGTTTTTCCCAGCACCAGCCTGATCAGAAGGTATCCTAGCAGCCAGCCTGATTTAGAAGGTATCCTAGCAGCCAGGGCCCGGGTCAAAGGAAACCTACACCGCCCGATCAAGGGAAAGGAAACCAAACACCAGCCCGGGTAAAAAGGAAAACCAAACGCCGCCCCAACAGAAGGGGTTTTCCTAGGGAGCCAAACCTGATCAGAAGGTTTTCCTAGCAAACCAGCCTGAACAAAGGTATCCTAGCAGCCACCCCCGATCAGAAGGGGACCTACAACCAGCCTTACAGAAGGTACCCCAGCAGCCAGCCTTTATCAGAAGGAATCCTAGGGAGCCAGCCCGATCAAAAAGGTATCCTAGCCGCCCCGCCTGATCAAAAGTATCCCCAGCAGGCCCGCCCGACAAAGGTATCCTACAGCCACCCCATCAAAGGTTTTCCCCAGCACCGCCCGATCAGAAGGTATCCCCAGCAGCCAGCCCCGAAACAAAAGGGATCCTAGCAGCCAGCCTATCAGAAGGGAACCTCAGCCAGCCTGATCAGAAGGTATCCCCAGCACCAGCCCATCAGGGAAAGGGACCTAGCACCCGCCCCCATCAGAAAGTAAACCTAGCACCAGCCCATCAGAAAGGGATCCTAGCAGCCCCGCCTGATCAAAGGGATCCTTTGCAGCCACCGATTTAGAAAAAAACCTAGCAGCCCCTATCAGAAGGATCCTAGCACCAGGGCCCCCCAGAAGGTATCCTAGCAGCCCCCCGAACAGAAGGGATCCTTTGCCGCCATCCCGGAAACAAAGGGATCCAGCAGCCACCTGATCAGAAGGTAACCAGGGACCAGCCCGATCAAAGGGAAACCAAACCCAGCCCCATCAAAGGTATCCTAGCAGCCCCGCCTGATCAAAGGAAACCTAGCAGCCAGCCCATTTAGAAGGGAACCAAACCCGCCAGCCCGATCAAAAGGTATCCAGCAGCCACCTGATCAAAGGGGAAACCTAGCACCAAACCCGAACAGAAGGGGATCCTAGCAGCCAGCCCGATCAGAAGGTATCCTAGCAGCCAGCCCGATCAGAAGGGATCCTAGCAGTGCCCTTTGAGGTTTTTTTGGAAAATTTACTTTTTATGGGTTCAAATTTCCAAACCCCGGGCCGTTGGGTTTTTATCTTTTCGTCAGGGGGCCTGGGGGATTACTTACCTTGCGATAACAATCTGTTTCTTGGCATACGGGAGGGTGTTTCAGGGGCCCAAAGCCCCCCCGCCGGTCCGTGACCAACCTCGGGCAGGTTCAGACCTGATCAAACAGGCTATTAATGCAAATGCATTCAAAACCCAAAATACCAAACCACAGCCAGGTTGATCTACGACGTCGAAAAGCATTCTTGGGACGAAAGGGAAAAAGTAAACCCAAAAGGGGGTTTTATATAGGTTTTTACGCAGACAGATCGCTCACATATACCTGGAGGTTCTTCCCAGGGGTTAGGCCTCTGTGGGCCGGGCCATTAACCCGTCCTAGCGGGGATCAAGGGCCCGATCAGGCCTTTTCTGCCGGCTGAACGCAATCCCTCATACAACCCCGGGACAGCCCGGGCCCGGTACTGACTAGAAAATCGTGCTAAGGTTTTCCTCGTGGGGACAGGGAGTGCTCGGGGGGTTCATGATGGCACTTATCACGATCCCCGAGGATAACCTTGTTGTCCCGGTGCCACACCAGGCCAGTAAATTACCATCTCACATAGTTCCTTGAGGGGGAAAGGTAGAGGAAAGAGGCGGCGGGAGGGAGAGAGGAAAGATGCAGAGGGTCAGGACAGTGTTAGCTTTAAAGATATGTATAAAAACCTTCGTCATTCTCTACATGGTTGTGCTGTATAGCCCTTGTGGCTTAGCGCTTCTTTTTGATTATAATAATAATAATAATAATAATAATCTACATGGTTGTGTATATGTAGAGGGACGTGTTAAAGACTTGTATCAGCCTAGTTTGTTCTTCCTATTTGACTCTTATTATCTCTGGATGCGTCTTTACCAACTCACACTTCAACTCAAAACTAATAATAATAATAACAATAATTTTTAATTATGTAAACGTATAAATAAATAACAAGGAGTGGTTTTCTAAGTACGGCAGAGTAACAGTTTAGTAGCTTTATACAGTACTTTATACAGTACTTTACACTCTGCATATATGGACTGAAAAGAGATTGAATAAATTATAAGTACATTATAAAACTTGTTGGAAGGTGGAGTTTGAAGCCAAAATAATAACGAGAGACAGTTTACGTAAAATATTTATATTTATAATATGAGCGAAGTTTCTTTCTTCTTGCCTCTTACTTGAGAGAAACGTCCTCATGTGTTTCTTTCTCCTATGTGCTGTTTATTTGTGTATTGTTCCAGTCACGGCATTGTGCCTCTTTATTCTTCCTTCCTCTTCCTAAGCTTCCCGTCTTCTTTCGACTTCCCACTTTCTATAGAGGTCCCGTTTTCTCCTGAGCTCCCGTTTTCTCCTGAGCTCCCGTTTTCTCCTGAGCTCCCGTTTTCTCCTGAGCTCCCTGTTTTCTCTTACGCTCCCGGCCCTAACTAAACCCCATTTCTAATAACACTTCTCTTCTGATCCCTTTAAACCTTCTGACCCCATCTCCCAAACTAAGTCCCCTTCCCTCCTTAAGCCAATAATGATTTTTTTAACAAATTCTATTTCTCCTGTGTGTGGGATAGGCCATTCAGAAGGATGGCAACTCCAGAGTAAATAAGTTTATTTAGGTACAGGTGCACATAAGTACAATTATCATAATAATAATCTTTATTTCTACAAGTACATGTACAATATATACAGACCATAGCTGACATACTATACAGAAAGCCCCTTATTATGGGGCAGCCATAACAAGGGTAGGTAAATTTTGTCCCCAGGATGCGACCCACACCAGTCGGCTAACACCCAGGTACCTATATACTGCTAGATGAACAGGGACAGCAGGTGAACTGAGTGCGCTACCAACCGTACGTTGGTTTGCGTGCAACCAACAGTAACAGCCTGGTTGATCAGGCTCTGATCCACCAGGAGGCCTGGTCACAGACCGGGCCGCGGGGGCGTTGACCCCCGGAACTCTCTCCAGGTAAACTCCAGGTAAACCGAGCTCTCCCAGAACGAAACCTACAAAGCTGACGTACGTACTGAACCTGTAGTGGAATATTTTATATCCTCATCGACCTACTGAAGTTTCTCACTTCAGGCTTGACGATATCCTCATTACCGTGAAGTCTGTGACTATCACATGTGATGGACTATGCTAGGGAAACAGCTAACTTTCCTTCCCACGACATAAGTATCATTAGCACATTGTTTCACCTGCTTGAGGCTTTATTAAATTTGGGTGAGAACGTTGTATTGATAAATATCTTTTTGCACTCCCTTTTTATCACCTGCTGACTCCTCCATACATCCACTCGTAGTGTTGCACCACACTGCTGGCACACCCAATATTTTTTAATAAGAAAACACCCTCTTATAAGTCTCCTACACCCACAGGATGGATAATGGATAATGAGAACCTTCAAAACTAGGGAGGCCAAGCCCATGATGACACTCTTCAGGTCACTTGTTCTATCTAGGCTGGAATATTGCTGCACACTAACAGCACCTTTCAAGGCAGGTGAAATTGCTGACCTAGAAAATGTACAGAGAACCTTCACGGCGTGCATAACGGAGATAAAACACCTCAATTACTGGGAGCGCTTGAGGTTCCTAAACCTGTATTCCCTGGAACGCAGGAGGGAGAGATACATGATTATATACACCTGGAAAATCCTAGAGGGACTAGTACCGAACTTGCACACGAAAATCACTCACTACGAAAGCAAAAGACTTGGCAGACGATGCACCATCCCCCCAATGAAAAGCAGGGGTGTCACTAGCACGTTAAGAGACCATACAATAAGTGTCAGGGGCCCGAGACTGTTCAACTGCCTCCCAGCACACATAAGGGGGATTACCAACAGACCCCTGGCAGTCTTCAAGCGGGCACTGGACAAGCACCTAAAGTCGGTTCCTGACCAGCCGGGCTGTGGCTCGTACGTTGGTTTGCGTGCAGCCAGCAGCAACAGCCTGGTTGATCAGGCTCTGATCCACCAGGAGGCCTGGTCACAGACCGGGCCGCGGGGGCGTTGACCCCGGAACTCTCTCCAGGTAAACTCCAGGTAAACAGGCTCCCTTCACTCGCAAGCTCCCTTCACTCGCAAGCTCCCTTCACTCGCAATCTCCCTTCACTCGCAATCTCCCTTCACTCGCAATCTCCCTTCACTCGTAAGCTCCCTTCCCTTCTTAGCTCCTGCTGTCTTCCTGTCTCATCAAGGATCTGTGCTTATTCTTATATTCACATAAAGTGCTGAATCTTTTACGTCATTCAGCACTACCTGGTGCTGACGTTGTATGGAAGAAGATGGAAGTGAGGTGCTGAGGCTGAGCACCCTGGTAAATGAAGGAATTCACAGTCGGTGCAGGAAATCAGCTTAAGTTTAAAAATAATCTGAATTTAATGTAGAGGTTCCATGGTGAAGGTCAGGCAGAGTGTGTGGGGGAGCGGCAGGAGATTGTCAAGTATCTTTATATATGGGCTGACTTGATTATTTATTGTAGAACTTTATGTCAGTTAAATGGGTTAGCTTTAATTATTTCTTTCAGAATCTGAAGCCAGCAGACAGCAGCAATAGACAAGCTGATCCCTACGTGAAGCTCCACCTCCTGCCTGGCGCCAGCAAGGTATCTTATTTTTATTTAATACATATAATACACAATGCCAATCTTACACAATAAACTCCGTTAAGCTGTGTAATTATTCGTGCGTAATTAAGTTGCCACTCCAGGAGCACTCTGATCGCTCTAACTCGCTCTTAAGAAAGTATTGAGAACGTTGGCTTAATGAGATTTGATATAGAAGAGTCTGTAGAGGTCTTAGACAGTATTTAATTATCAACACCTGTTATATCAGCATTGATTCAAGCTTCAGAGCTTGTTATTACACATCTGTGCTACTGCTTAGCTTACGTACATGAAAAATTACCTCTGTTCCATTACGTGCCTTTGTACCTCTACCGCTAACATGATGGCCGTTTAAATATTTTATACTTTATTTCCGTATAGCGTTTTAAAAATACGTGATTTGATTTGGTTTTCATTTGATTGAATTAATTGTTGCGCCCTGTCTTGTTTCATGGACTACCCGCCAGTCGAACAAGTTGAGGACACGTACGGTCACCAAGACTGTCAACCCAGACTTCAACGAGACTCTCACCTACTATGGTATCTCAGACCAAGAGATGGCTCGCAAGACACTTAGACTCACCATCTTGGGTAAGGCTCTTACCTCTCCCTGACTCATTAACTTGGGTAAGTCTCTTGCCTTCTCCTTGACTCACCTTCGGTGACGCTCATCACTCTTCCTTCCTCCACCATCTTGGATATTTTTTTTTATTCTCTAGGCCATAGCAGTGTAGCGTCTTTATAAATTAATGTTGAGCAGAAAAATAAAAAGCTTTTTATTTAGCAAGATTGTTTACATTCGCAATTTGCTGCTACACTATTCCATATGACAGTAATATAGTGGCAAATAAAGCTACGTTTCCCTGTCATATTCCATCACATAGAATGGGTCGCATACATACATTGGGTTAAAGTAGGTTACCGTGCAGCCTCGTGTTCATAGACTTTTAAACCCCATTCACCAATAATGGTAGACTTCAGTAGGGAAATAAGGATATCGAGTATTCCATCAGCTAGGGAAGCTTCATTGGTTTCCTTCCATCAGAGTTGGAGTTCCTATTACGGGGGAATCAGCATCCCTCAAGATAGCCTATCCCAAACACATGAAAAACTGAATTTATATGAAGATATGCACATCACCGCAGAGCGGGGATAATATAAAATATAAATTATATACAGGAGACAGGAAAAGCGGAGGGAAGAGAGAGAGAGAAATCTTGACGACAAAATACGATATAGTTCGGTTTGCACATATGTTAACATATAGCACTTCAGATTTATTATATACCTAAGATTACACATACTTGCACTAGGCTCACAGTAATCAATCTGAGGGTTATAAACAAACCTGCACTTGACTAATCAACAGCCACCAGAGAAGGCCTGAGCTTGCTACCATCTGCAGCTCATAAGACTGCCATCCCCACGAGCCCCTTTGAGGCGGGGTAGATGGCAGACCAGAGGCCTAGCTTCTCCCTACGAGCCCCGTGAGGGCGGGGAATGTGGCTAGGCCTGGGGACAGTTGGTCCCAAAGATGAGGGGGTAGTTGTACCTCCTCCCATGGGAGACTTAGGTCTCGGGATACTCCTCAGATAGGGAGCCAAGGCCGGGTCACCACTACTTGGAAAAGACCCGGGCCGGGAGAATACCGGCGAATAAGAAAAAAAAAAAAAAAAAGTTCCGGCTCCATTCCCCGGCACCTCCATGGTTGTACAAGGACCAAAATAGAAATAAGTCACTGACTGTTTTTTGAATTATCCTAGATAGTTTACACATATGTTTCTAGCTATGATAATTGTACTTAGGTGTACTTGTACCTAAATAAACTTAATAACTGAAGGTTGACTATGGATAAGTTGAGTAAGACCAATAGCTAAAACATGTAGTTAGATTAGATGTATAGTTTAAGAGCAGGGAAGACATTCATTAATGTAATGGTAAGGCTACATTGATTTACTTTTGTTAGATGTCTCTCTGAGGAGGTTCCTTGATGCTGGAGAGGGGATTTTGAGTCAAGGAAATGGACCCGTCCTCTTCCATTTCTCGATCGTGATTTCCTTCCATTCCCCAGACGCTATATATCCCGTAAATACAAAAAATCTATTAGCTCACCTGCACCAGGTTCTTCCTCATAATATTACGCTTCCAGTTTGGGGACATCTAAAAAATATCTTGCAAGTTAATCCCGCCAGATTAAACAGTGTAGTTCATCCTGTCAAGTGATGACGTTTTCTCTTACAGACGAGGAGCGGTTTGGCTGTGACTTTTTAGGTGAAGCTCGCATGGCCCTCAAGAAAGTTCGTCCTCATGAAACTAAACGTATAAGAATCAACCTAGAGAAGCGAGCCATCGTAAGTAAACCTTTTACGAGTAACATATACTTTATATTCCTTCCAATACTTATTGATATTAAAAGCATCCGAGTAATGTCACTTGATTGCAAGCCTCTCATGTTCATGCTGAATTATACTGCAGTGTGCCGGCGCCAAGCAGTCAGTTAAGTGTTGAGTGACTGTTACAGTTGTTGGAAGATGAGGTGAAGGGTGAGGCTGAACGAGGGAAGGTACTACTCAGTCTCAAGTACGCCACACAGAGGAGTGCTCTCATCGTTGGTATCGTCCGCTGTGCCCACCTTCCTTCCATGGACTCCAACGGCTTCTCAGATCCTTACGTCAAAGTGTATGTACACAATTGTATGCTTGCTTTCCTTATACTAAGATAATCTTAATATTTAAGGGATGGACCGGTAAGTTAACGGAAGGCCTCGGTCAGATGACCAAAAGCTCCAGTTGTTGGGTCATCATATGACTAACACCCGCATCAAGAAACACTTCCTGTTTCCTAACGAATCTTACTTGACCTAACATATACTTCCCTGATACCGGTGAAGGGTTCTTGACCCAAGAAATATTAGCTGTCCTTCCTTTCCTAGGATCGATCTTCATTACCTCCCGCTCCTCAGGTGCTCGTATAGCCCATGTACTATCAAACAGTCAATCAAGTTTATTCTCTATAAGGATTACAATGCGGGGTTTACATATTTTGGTTATTGTGTGGTTTACATGTAATAAAATACTAATTACAGAGGTGCCACTAGGACACCTAGCATGGCTAGGCATTTCGGGCAGACTTAGATTAATTCTTAACTCTAAATTATTACAAATTATGGAGTAAGGTGGTATTATAGCTAAGTGACTAAATACTAGTTTGTGAGTTTAGCAATGTGAATGCTTTTGTTTTGGCACAATACATAGTTTTTTCTATTTTGGTGTGAAAATTTGTCTGGACTGCCTCCAAGTGAGTTGCCTACCCTGGCAAGCTCTGTTGACACCGAGCCCTGAGGTCGGTACCTCAGCCTCACAAGTGGCTTATAGGACAGATTTCCATAAATGACTGATGTTGCAAGAAATCTCGCCTGCATGCACATGTACAGGACTAACTTACTTGGTGTTGGAGAATGTATCCCGATCTTCAACCTCCATTAGCTGTAGCCCCTCTGGACTTCCTCTCAGAACCACGTGCAACCAGGAGCCTTAATTCCTGCAATATTCAGTAGATATTCAATTCAATTCAAAGTTTATTCTCTATAAGGATTACAATGCTGAGTTTACAGAATTTGGTTATTGTGTGGTTTACATGTAGTAAAATAATGATTACAGAGTACCACTAGAACACCTAGCATGGCTAGGCATTTCGGGCAGACTTAGTTTAATTCTTAATTTTAAAATATTACAAATTATGAGGTAAGTTGGTATTATGGCTAAGTGACTAAATACTAGTTTGTGAGTTTAGCAATGTGAATGCTTTTGTTTTGGCACAGTACATAGTTTCAGTATTGGAGTATCACAGGATTCATTATTTTAAGATTGAGATTAATATTTCTGTTTATGGTCAAATGGGTGAGTGAGTGTAAGTGTGAACCACCAGGTGGTATTCGTGTAGTTAGTTGACGGGGTGTATCAGGAAGATAAGATGTTTTCTAATGGTAGTCACCTGCCTACACCTCAGAATTTCCTGTTTCCAAGGGGGTGTGTATCCCCTAGCATAACTATGCAGAAATGGACAGTAGCTTCTAAGCCTGATGGAGTGACGCCGGTAGGTACTGGTCATGGGCCGCCTGTCTGCACAAAGGCCCACAACTCAACTCACTCGCAATTTCCCCCAGAAACTGGCCAAAATCCCGAGAAGGAAAAGGAGGTCTTGTCTTACTGTATGGGCCTGACGGAGGAGGACATCTACGGTACGTCCAGGTGCCTCCACCAGATTTCCCCAGGTCTAGTATGTGAAGACACATGGGGGGCGTCACCTGCTGACAATGGCACTTGTTGCTCCGACGGTGTCTGGTCTTAGAAGAAAGGCACTGGGGTCTCAAAACCCAGTGCCCAGCATTCAAACTTGGGCTGCCAGTTCTCCCTGGCTAATATAACCTAGTGTTTTCCTACATTATCGGCATATTACTACCTACATTAAGGTCTTAGGTCTACATTATTATTATCTACAGTTGCCTCAATAATCCTAATATTAGTGTACTAACAGTATAAACTACCTACCTCTTCCTTGAAGGGTAAATCTATCAATTAAGATGTACCTTTCCAACCACCTCTGCCAACCCGGATGGGTGTAAGGGCCACCCAACCCAGCTGTTCCATCCACGACCTGTTGGGATCTTTGTATGACGTATCTGTCCTGTGGAACTTTATGACCGAATAAATTTCCACAATTGGAGTATCATAGGCAAACTTATGACTAGTTAGGATTCATTATTTTAAGATTAAGATTCGTATTTCTGTGTTTATAGTCAAATGGGTGAGTGAGTGTAAGTGTAAACCACCAGGTGGTTGTAGTTAGTTGACAGGGTGTATCAGGGAGATAAGATGCTTTCTAATGGTAGTTTTGAAGGTGATGAATGTGTCTGCAGTTCTAGAGTTTTCAGGTAGGGTGTTCCAGATTTTAGGGCCTTTGACACACATTGAATTTTTGTAAAGGTTTAGTCGGACACGGGGAATGTCATAGAGATGTTTGTGTCTGGTGTTGTGCCTGTGGGTTCTGTCACAACTATCAAGAAAGCATTTTAGGTCAAGGTTAATATTGGAATTTAAGGTCCTGTAGATGTAGATTGCACAGTAGTAAGTGTGGATGTACTGAACAGGGAGTAAGTTTAGATCTATGAAGAGTGGGGAGGGGTGTTGCCAGGGATGGGATTTAGTGATTATTCTTACTGCAGCTTTTTGTTGGGTTATTATTGGCTTTAGGTGTGTTGCTGCAGTTGATCCCCAAGCACAGATAGCATAGGTGAGGTATGGATAAATGAGTGAAGGGTATAGTGTGAGAAGGGCATTTTGCGGCACGTAGTATCGTATCTTAGAGAGGATCCCAACCGTTTGGGATACTTTTTTTGTTATGTGTTGGATATGGGTGCTGAAATTCAGGTTATTGTCGAGGTATAGGCCTAGGAATTTGCCCTCATTATGTTTGGCAATTAGAGTGTTGTCGATCTTAATGTTAAGTTGTGCAACACCTGCTCTGCTACCAAACATAATACATGTATAGTAGGTTTTGTCAGTGTTAAGTGTAAGTTTATTAGCTGTCATCCAAGTCAATATTTTGAGCAGCTCCTCGTTAACAATGGTGTTGAGGGTGGCAAGATTAGGGTGAGAGATGACATAAGTCGTGTCATCGGCAAAGAGAATAGGTTTCAGGTGTTGGGATACGTTTGGAAGATCATTGATGTAAATGAGGAAGAGCAGGGGACCAAGGACACTTCCCTGCAGAACTCCAGTATCAAGTGGCCGTGTTGATGATGCTGTGTCTTTAATGGTGACATACTGATACCTATTAGTAAGGTAGGATTTGAAATATGCAAGCGCATGGCCTCTTATACCATAATGGTCAAGTTTGTGGAGTAGGATGCCATGGTCTGTGTCAAAAGTTTTTCTTAGGTCAATAACAATTCCTAGCAGATACTCCTTATTTTCCAATGCTGTGGAAAGCAGATCTAGCATTTTTACAATTGCATCATTAGTGGTTTTATTTTTCCTGAATCCAAATTGGCAGGGGTTGAGTATGTTTTGTGCCATTATAAATGAGTATAGTCTCCTGTGCACGAGTTTCTCGAAGATTTTGGATAGCAATGGTAAGTTTGATATTGGCCTATAGTTGTTTAAATCTGTAGGGTCATCACCTTTATGTCTTGAGTAGTGTCGGGAAGGTGCTAGTTTCTAGTGACTTGTTAAAAAGTAATGAAATAACATGCGAAAGGACATGGGCTGCTCGCTTGTACAATAATGGTGGGACATGAGACAGATTCCCTGAGTTATTTTTAAGTGACTTTATAATCTCGGTGACAACGGTGGACTCAGTTGGTACAAGATAGAAGGAATTTGGGAAATTCCCATCTAGGTAGTCCCTGGCATGGGTGTTGGTACATGGGATTTTACTGGTGAGATTAGATCCTATGGTTGAGAAGAAGTCGTTTATCTTGTTAGCTGTATCAGTGGGATGCAGTGGTGTTTCATTAGGTTTAGTTAGGACAATGTTCTTGGTTTTTTTTCAGTTTGTGGGTCCCCAGAATCTGGGAGTGTTTTCCAGGTCTATTTTATATCTCCTCTTGTGTCAGTGAATCTGCTGGAGTAGTATAGTTGTTTGGCTTTCTTTATTACTTTGATGAGAACTGATGAATAGTGTTTAAGAATATCTTTGTGTATTAAGCCCTGTCTATATTGCTTTTCATATTGGTGTTTCTTATCAGAATGCTGCTGGTTAGCCATGGGCAACCGAGCCATTTATTCGTGATATGTTTCGTTTTTATAAGACAGTGTTTGTTGTATAGTCTAAGTAATTTGTTAAGAAAAATGTCTGTCCAATCGTCAATACCATTGGCCTTGGAGAATTCTCTAGGCCAATCAACAGTCTCTAGGTCAGCTGTGAAATTCCTTATTGAGGCCTCGTCATGGAGTCTAAATGAAACTTTGTTGTATTCCAGTGGTGATTTACTAATCAAACCATACCCCGGCCGGGATTGAACCCGCTGTCAGAGAGTCTCAAAACTCCAGCCCGTTGTGTTAGCCACTAGACCAGCTAGCCACAATAAGATTCGTCCAACTAGGTATACAGTAGGGCCCCACTTATACGGCTGGTTAGGTTCCAGGCTACCGCCGTAAAGCGGAAACCGCCGTAAAGTGGAACACCCTTTTTTTTCCACTTACAAATGCATACAAACACTAGATAACAAATTTACACTAACATATATTAAGTTAGCAATAGAACCAGGCATCAAAAAACAATAAAAAAGTACAATACACACATAGTGCACTCATTACTTACCTTAAAATATTTATAGTCTTAATCTAGGGTGAGACAAGTGTATTTATTGTAAGAAATCAAGTGTGGTATGATGGTAGTCAGCCAGGCTACCATACCAGGCCCCACCCCACCCACACATCCCAATTCTAGAAAATTTAAGCATCCCAGAGCGATAAAATGTATATACATTTTCACTCGTTACTTACCTTAAAATTTTAGGGTGAGATGAGTAGTATTTATTGTAAAAAATCAAGTGTGGTATGTATGGTAGTCAGCCGGGCTACCATACCAGGCCAACCCACCTACACATAATATTCTATTACATTTAAGCATCCCAAGATCAATAAAATGTATATACAGTTCACATCATTACTTCCCTTAAAATATTTGTAGTCTTAATGTAGGTCAGGAGTAAGTAAATGAGATAAAACGAATAAATGAGAGAGAGA